TGATGGGGGAGGGACAGGGGGAGGTTCTTGTCTTCCCTCATCTTGATGTGCCATGCTTTGTTCAAGGCCATGGAATGCCTGCTCCTTTCTGAATGGAGATGGAGGAGGACTGGGTGGAGAGAGGGGGAGACAAGATCAGAGGAGGTAGGGGAAATTGTGATCAGTATGTAAAATAAATGAGAACATGTTAATTTTAAACACAATCTGAAGTAATGCTGGAAATAGAAAAGCTGGGCCAAGAGTCAAGTACTACAGATGCAAGCATAACCAATGGAATACACGAGATGGAAAAGAAAATCTCAGGTGTTGAAGATACACTAGGAGGAATAGGTTCTTCAACCAAAGAAAATCTTAAGTCAAACACAAAATATCCAGGAAATATGGGAGACCACGAAAAGACCAACCTTAAGAATAATAGGTATAGAGTGCCTGGGGATTGCCTGGGAACTGCACAGAGCTGCCCATCCCAGCTGGAGCCAAATATGCCAGATCCCAGGTCTTCTCTTCCACCAAGGAGACCAGGGGACAAGCTGGTCCGGCAAGAACATCTCCTGTCAGAATGGCTAAAATAAAAAACACCAACAACAATTTATGCTGGAGAGGATGGGGGTAAAGGGAATACTCCTCCACTGCTGGTGGGAATGCCAACTTGTATAGCCACTTTGGAAATCAGTATGGTGATTCCTCAGAAAAATGGGAATAAACCTACCAAAAGACTCAGCAACTCCACTCTTAGGGAGTTGCCTAAGATGCCCATTCATACAACAAGGATGTCTGTTCCACTATGTTCATAGCAGCATTATTTGTAATAGCCGGAAGTTGGAAGCAACCTAGATTCCCCTCAACCAAAGAGTGGATAGGGAAAATGTGGTACATTTACACAATGGAGTACTATTCAGCAGAAAAAACAATGGAATCCTGAAATTTGCAGGCACCATACTGAGTGAGGTAACCCAGTCACAAAAAGAGAAACATGGCATGTACTCTCTCATATATGGATTTTAGACATAGATCTGGGGAGTGCCAGCCTACAGTCCCATGGCCAGAGAGTCTGAGAAACAGAACCTTCATTCAATGGCTGATGGAAGAAGAAGCAGACTCCCATGGCTAAGCACTGAGCTGAACTCAAGAAAGCCAGTAACAGAGAGGGAGGACTGATGACCAAAGGGATTAAGACTGGGCTGGTTTAACCCCCAGAAACAGCTGACCTGACAAGGGTTAGCTCTTGAATCCCAGACTAATGCCTGGGAATCCAGCATGGGACTGATCAAGACCCCCTGAATGTGGGTGTCAGTGATGAGGCCTACATAATATATTGATCCTTGGGTAGTAGATCATTATTTATCCCAGGTATACAAATGGACTTTGGACTCCCATCCAACAATGTGATATTCACTCTCACCCTGGACTCTTGGGAGAGGATCTAGGCCCTGTCCTGGATGAAATGACAGACTATGGACACCCTCATGGAGGGCCTCACCCTCCCTGGGGAAATAAGAGGATATTGGAGGGGTTGGTGGGAGGGCACGAGAGGAGAGGAGGGAAATGGAGAGGGACCCGGAATTGACATGTGAAGCAAAGTGGTTTATAATTTAAATTTAAAAATAAAAATATTTAAAAAGAATAATAGGTTTAACAGTGCATGGGGACTGCCTGGGGACCACACTGAGCCTCCCTTCCTGGCGGGAGCCTATGTACCCCAGTATCCTGGTCTTCTTCTCCACCCACAGGACCAGGCAAGTCGGGCCCTGTTTCTGGGTCAACATGTCATTGCCTAAAGACGGCTACTGAGTCTCCCCTCCCAGTGGGAACCTCGGCACCCAGATTCTTGGTCTTCTTCTCCAACAACTGAGCCAAGACTAAGACCAGGAAGAGGAGAACTGCAACATAATTGGACTTGTTTGCACCCACTAAAAAAAGGACACTGGTCCCCTAACCACCAGAACAGGAAGAGGCTTTTTCTGCACCCACTGGAAGAAGAGATGGGAAGAAGACAATACAAAAACACACTCAGCAACAGAAGAACAGATATGATACCACCAGATTCTAGAGACTCCACACCAGCAAGACTACAACATTCCAATGCAAATGAAAAAGGAGAGAATGACCATAAAAACAACTTCATGAAAATGATAGAGGCCTTCAAAGGGGATATGGGAAAAACTCTGAAGAAATGGGAGGAAAAAAAACAAACCAAAAATAATGCAAGAAATGGAAGAAAAAGCAAACAAATGAATGCAAGAAATGGAAGGAAAAACAAACGAAAAGTCAAAAAATGCAACAAATGGAGGAAAAGACAAAGCAAAAATTGCAAGAAGCAATTCAAACAGTGCAAGGGTTGAAAACTGAAATAGAGATGAAAACTACAGTCTGAAAGAAGGATGGAAATAGAAAAGCTGGACAAATGGTCAGGTACTTCAGATGCAAGCATAACCAACAGAATACAAGAGATGGAAGAAAGAATCTCAGGTATCGAAAATGCAATAGGAGAAATAGATTCATCGACCAAAGAAAATCTTAAGTCCAACAAATCCCTAACACAAAATGCCCAGGAAATACAGGACACCATGACAAGATCAAACCTAAGAATAACAGGTATAGAAGAAGGAGAAGGAAACCACCTCAAGGGGGTAGAAAATATATTCAACAAAAACATAGAAGAAAACTTTCCCAACATAAAGAAAGACATGACAATAAAGGTACAAGAAGCTTACAGAACACCAAATAGAGTGGGCCACAAAAAATTCCCCTCACCACATAATAGCAAGACCAAAAATATGCAAAATAAAGAAAGAATATTAGAAGCAGCTAAGGAAAAAGGTCAAATAATGTAAAAAGGCAAACCTATCAGAACTACAACTCAATGCTCCATGGAAACCCTGAAAGCCAGAAGGTCCTCATAAATATTCTGCCAACAATAAGAGATCAGCGATACCAGCTAAGACTGCTATACCCAGCAAAATTTTAAATCACTATACATGGAGAAAACAAGATATTCCATGACAAAACCAGATTCAAACAATACTCATCCACTAACCCAGCCCTACAGAAAGTTCTGGAAGGAAAACTCCAACACAAGGAAATTAACTACAAAAAACAGAAAAACATAGGCAATAGATAATCCCACTTTGCCAACAGCAAAGGAAACAAGGGGTGGAAATCCACATGTAATTCCACCAACAACAACTATTCCAAAACAAACAAGAATGAGCAATCAATCATCATTAATATACCTCAATATTAAAGGTCTTAACTCACCCATAAAAAGACACAGGATAACAGGATGGATTCAAATACAGAACCCATCCTTCTGCTGCATACAAGAAACACAACTCAGCATCAAAGACAGTCATTACCTCAGAGTTAAAGGTTGGGAAAAGATTTTCCAATCAAACGGATGCAAGAAACAATCATAGATGATTTTTTTGCTACAGAAGTAAAATTAAAATCCATCAAGAAATGTTACATAGAAGTAGATGCCTAGATATGTGCAAGCCCAACTGCACTCCTGTATGCCACCTGCTCACATAAAAACTCACCGTTGGGCATCCCCATCTCTATTCTATGTGGGATTTCTTCCTCCTGCATCCTCATGTCCATCTTTCCATCTTTAACCTGTGTACACTTGATGATTTCTATCCCAAGCTTTCTATCTCAAGGATGTTTCCAAGGTGAACTTCCATGGCCCTGCCCACTTTGTTCTCCATACCTGAAACATATGCAATCTCTCAAAACCCCAAGACATCCCAAATGACCAGAGGTTCTAAGATATAAAGAAATAAGTCTCCTCCATAAAGAAATCTGGCACTGCTGTTCCTGAGTTCTCTTCTGTCAATGTTTCCTACGTTCTCCACTGGACCGATGGACTGATGGTTGTTCAGAGGAGACACTGAGTGCAAAAGGTGGTGGGACAAGAAAGTGTAGCTCTCATCCCTCATCAAGGAAACTTCATCACGCAGCAGACAAAGACCATTGCACATTACATTACATATACCTCTACAGACACAACAAACCGAAATGCGGAGTTGCAGAGCTCAGCTGCAGTGCACACATATACAAAACAACTCCTACATTGTGGAAGAGGAGGAGGAAATATTGTAGGACCCAAAGGATCCAGGAATTTGTTGTGAGACTGTGTCTCCTACAAACATCAGAACCAACACCCATAAAGTCTCAGCAACATGACAGCCTAAACATGAGCTGGACAAGGACAACAAAACAGGCATGTCAAAGTAGATGTGAGAAATCCAATGAGCCCTCAACCCAACATAAGTGACTACAGAGAACTAAAAATGTCCCCCTGAGTCTGGAAGAAATAGTCTTCCCCAGAGCAGACAATACCAACTGGTTATCCAATATCAAATGGTCAGCTCTGAAAACATGCAATAACATTATGCAGATTAAGCAGGTAAATTAAATTGGATATGTATATGCATATACATATATGCATGTAACAGCAGTAAATTTGTAATGAAGCCATGGATTTGAAAAACAACAAGGAGAGTTACATGGGAGGGCTTAGGGACAGTAAAAGGCAGGGTAGAAATGACATATCATAATCCAAAAGGCAAAGAAAAACCATGATGAGGTCACGAGACCTAAAAAATCATTATCAATGGATAAAGTAGCAGATATTCTTTCAATTTTTCCATTGCCATCAGCTAGTGATGTACTTCTCACACACACAACTAAGAAAAGAACACTGGTGGATAACAGTCATCAGTCAAGTGGTACACCACCTTTCAGAATGGTTCCCATTATGGATAGGTGAGTACTTCTATTCTCCAGACAAATACACCTGTATCTAATCGAAAAATAATAAAATTGACACATAATATTCAGACCCCATAATGTAAATGGAGAAATTACAGTCATAACAACAGTGCTGTGTGCAGGATGCAGCACACAGGAGAATAGCAGTGGAATTGACATATTCCACACGGCATCCCTTGAGGCCTCTCTAAGCACAGAGATAAGGAACGAGAACCAGACATACTTACCAGGGATTGACAACTTCAGGGGATCACTAGGCAGTGACCACAAGGAGGGACTGTGTTCAGGAGAAGCAAAGCATCTGTAGGTCCTGCTGTGCCCTGGGCTCACAGGGGAGATGAGGAATGTGCTGTGGGACTGACGTGAACAGTTCTGGGGGAAGGAGGCATTTCCACCTCTGCAGAGGATGAAGATGTTAAATGGAGAATGTGTGTGACAGAGGAGAGTCACATTTCTTTCTGGGAATCCCTGAGGTATTGAATCCACAGTAAGGGATGGCTTCTCCTGGTAAACACCTGAAAGTAAAAGACCCTGCTATTACTTGGTCATGGTGACAAATGCCCTTAATTCTAGCACTCAGGATAGAGAGGCAGATGGATCTGTGTGAGTTTGAAAACAACCTGCTCTGTATCCAGGTTTTAAGGCCATACAGAACTACATGGTGAGACCCTATGTCAACAAAACTACAAAAGTCCCTTGTCTTAGTTAAGGCCTCTATTGCAGTGATGAAACCATGACCAAAAAAAGAAGCGGGAGATGAAACGTTCATACACTTACACTTTAACATTGACTTTCATCACTGAAGAAGTCAGGACAGGAACTCAAATATGGTAGGATCCTAGAGGCATGAGCAGATGCAGAGGCCACGTAGGGGAGCAGCTAAGTGGCTTGCTTCCACTGGCTTGCTCAGTCTGCTTTCTTATACAACTGAGGACTGCCAGCCCAAGGATAACATAGCCCACCATGGTCTGGACCCTCTCCAGTTAATCAAAACTTGAAAAAAATGCCTTTCAGCTGGATCTCATGAAGGCCTTCCCTAAACTGAGACTCATTCCTATCTGATGACTCTATCTTGTGTCAAGTTGACAAAAACCTGGACAGTACAATCCTGTTGTTTTTAGCCTGATTAGAAATAAGCCTACAATTCACTGAGTCTGATCATAGAGAAGAAAAGATGAAGACAAAAGGTAACTCATCTATTGCTAATCTATACAGATCCCAAAACATGTTTCTAATATTTTTCCATGGTCAGCACAGAGGGAGGGTCACAACACAAACAGAGTCTGGTGTTGAATATTAGTTGATGCAGTTCTTGCCCAATACACACAGTTTCCTGTGTTCTATGTTCATCGCCACACGAATGGTATCCTTGTCCAAATCAATAACACTAGTACTGGAAGAGTAAAAGCATAGGGATCATAAATTCAAGATTATATTTGGCTGCATGGCTAGTTGAAGGCCAGTATGTGAAATGTGAGAATATGTATCAAAGAAAACTGTCAATAAAAATGGAAATTGAAGATGAAAGGAAAATGGGAGAAAAAAGAGAGACAAGAGAAAAGGAACATAATGGAGCTGAAAGGAGAGGAGAGAGAGGAAGGGAGAGAGAGGAAAGGGGGGAGAGGAGAAAGGGAAAGGAGAGGGAAGAGATCAATACATAGGAAGAGATACACAGGGCAGGGCTTGTAATGGGACATATGTGGTTCAGTGAGGTAGGCATCACAGAGTGATGCTGAAGAACAGTGTTCTTGCGCAGATGCTCACCTGTCACCACCAGCTCCAGCTGATCACTCTTTTGTGACCATTGACCTCCCTTTCTGTATTCACAGTAGTAAACTCCCACATTCTCATGTGTCATCCTCTGCAGACTGAATTCAAACACCTCCTGAGATCCCTCTGGGGTACTATCCAAGCATTTTCCATTGAATACACTACTAGAGAGACATACTCGGGTCACCCCTGGAGGGGTCCTGCAGAAGATGCTCATACCACTGCCTGTGGGAATCACAGGTCCTGGAACTGCCCAGATGTAAGGCTGGGGTGGGGGTCCTGGAGAGACATAGGGAAAAAAGCAGTAGTCAACTGATGTCAGGAGAGACTGGTTCCCAAGGAGTCATAGAGTAACTCCCACAACAATTACTAATCGAGAAATTGCCCCCAAAGACATGATCATTGGCCAACATGGTGGTGGCATTTCGTCAGTTGATGTCCCTTCTCCCCAGATCACTCTGCCTTGTGTCATGTTGAAAGACAACTAATCAGCTCACCTCCAAAGTAAAGTCTCCTCAGTTTCAGAATTGAGTTTCTGGCATAGTCCCAGAGACCTGAACATGGTTACTGTTCACGACAATGTAAGAGTAACTCTCATAACCTTAGTGCTATCAACTGCCTCCACTCATTGTCTCCTGCCAGCCCCGGAAAGTACCCTGTGGGTTGCCACTCCTATCACCAAAACTTTCCACTTCCTTGGCCCAGTCAACAGGAAACAGCATTAAATCACTATCCTATATCTGACTTTGTCTCTTGCTTCCATGAAAACACAACCACTGTTCCATCTCCAACATCACACAAACCCAGGGAGCTGCCAAAAATAAATGAATCCCATATGTGCGGTAGGCAATTTACACAATTTATACAGCATTTGTTCACCTCTGTCTCACAGACCGTGTGTCTTCCCAATAACAGATCTCAGTAAGAGAGTCAGACACAACCAATGAGAGAACTAATGGGAGAAAAAGAAAACAAATTAGACACCAAGTGTCTGTATCCTCAGGAGGGAGCTTGTGTGTGCAGTTAGCCCCTCCTCAAGGCCAGAGGCAGATATCAAGTGGGCATTACTAGCATTTGATTACAACCTCCACATGTTAGATGGCTGCAGTACCAAGGAGTAATCATTAAGTGTGCCAGTAGCTGCCAACGAAAATCCAGTCTCGGTATCTGCTAAAGATTTCATGAGTTCCTCCCATGCTACTCCCAGTCAAACTCAGTTTTCCTTGGATAAAGCAGACAACAGACTCACCATACTGTGCCCAGATGCTCTGGTCCATTAAAAACACTGAAAATAGAGCAAAGAGTCAGATAAGAGAAGTCTGTCCTGTTATACACAGATCCCGACCCAGAACTCAGATCAGAAGACCATGGCCAGATGGGCAGGCTGAGGCCAGGAAAGACTCCTCTGTGGCCACTACGCCAGGTCTTCATAGATTAAGAGATCTGTGAAAGGAACCCAGGTTACAAATCTGGAATGCTGTATTCCTTACCACTCTGGCTAAAATATAATGACCCCTGTCTCACTTACCAAATCCAAGAAGAGCAGCTCCAAGTCCCATGGCAGTGCCTCTTGCCAGATCTCCACATAAACAACACACAGGACTGATGACACAGTTCACACAGTGGGACACACCCAAGAGAATGAGAAGGCCAAGGGAGGGTATGGTGACATCCAACACAAAAGAGGAAGAGGATTGTTCTTGCACAAGACCTGTTCTGACTCCTTCTAACCCCCAGCTCTAGGCTGGGCAATGGTTCCTCTATGTAGTTACTATTCTGGCTTTAAATTCTCAATGACATTATGTAAAGAGGTAGGGGGATGCTGTTCCCTGAATCACAAATACAACAAAGCCACATAGAAGTTTATTAGGAAAGGAAGGTAATAGGCTGAGAAAGAAATCAGAGAAACCTCATCCTTTACAATAGGCACAAACAACATAAAATATCTTTAGCTATCTCTAACCAAACAAGTGAAAGAACTGCATAACAAGAACTTTGACTCATTAAAGAAAGAATTTAAAGAAGATACCAGAAAATGGAAAGATCTCCCATTCTCATGCATACAATCAACATAATAAAACTGTCAAACTTACCAAAAGCAATTACACATTCAACACAATGCCCATCAAAATCCCAGCATAATTCTTCACAGACCTTGAAAGAAAAATACTCAACTTTATATGGAAAAATAAAAAAAGGATAACCGAAACAACCCTGTGTATTAAAGAAACTTCCAGAGACATCAAGGTCTACTATAGAGCTATATTCCTGAAAACGGCTTGATATCGGCACAAAAATAGACATGAAGGCTAATAGAATTGAATTAAAAACATTGATATTAACACACACACACACCTACAAACACTTGATTTTTTACAAAGAAACTAAAGTTATACAATGGAAAAAAGAAAGAGTCTTCTAAAAAAGGTGTTGAAATAACTGGATACTGGCATGTAGAAGACTGCAGATAGATCCATGTCTATTGCCTTACACAAAACTTAAGCCCAAATGGACCAAAGAACTCAACATAAATCCAGCCACACTGAACCTCTTAGAAGAGAAAGTGGGAGGTACCTTTGAATGAATTGGTACAGGAGATCACTTCCTGAACAGAACACCAGTAGCACACATACTGGTAGTGACAGTTATTAAATGGGACCTCCTGAAACTGGGAAGCTTCAGTAAGCAAAGGACACAGCCAACAAGACAAAACAACAGCACACACAATGGGAAAAGATCTTCACCAACCCCTCATCTGACAGTGAGTTGATTTCCAAATTATACAAACAACTCAAGAAGCTAGTGATCATCAAAACACCAGGAAAATACAATTAAATTGTGGGGTACACCTCAGGCTTGGGCCCATACCGTCCTCCACTCTCTGCCCTCTGTTTGAGGTGAGTGTGGGCTCTCCTAGGGCATGGCTCCTGCCATCTCCCCTTTGAACTTCCTGAGTCTTCGTTGCAGGTAGTGGACCCGCCACAACTGGGAAGACCACCTAGAATCTTGCCACACCTCAGTATTGGCTCCCCCTCTACTGTCCACTTGAGTATTTACTCCCCATGCCCTCTGCTTGGGTAAGGAGAGGCCGAACCTTCCAGAGTTGCAGACAAGAAAGAGGTGGCCGACCTACACCACTTGGAGATGAGATTAGAGGTAGAAACCCTACCTGCACACAATCAAAGGAGGGATGGGAAGATAGCAGTTTAAGAACATACTCAACAGCAGAAATGCCAATATGACACCACCAGAATCTAGGGACTCTACAACAGCAAGACTTAAACAACACAGATGAAGTAGAAGAGAAGGACCTTAAAATCAAATTTATGAAGATAGTGGAGAGCATCAAAGAGGAAACAAGAAAATACATTGAAGAAATGGAAGAAAAAACACAAAAAATGCAGGAAATGGAGGAAAAGACAAACCAAAAATTTCAAGAAATAAACAAATCCCTTAAAAGAAAGCCAAGAAAAAACAACCAAAAAAGTGTAGGAAAGAATTCAAACAGTTCAAGCTGAAATAGAAGCAATATAGAAAACACAGAAGGAGGGGATGCTGGAAATACAAAAGCTGGGTAAATAATCAGGAACTATAGATGTAAATACATGCAATAGAATACAAGAGGTAGAAGAGAGAAATACAGGTGTGGAGGACTCACTAGAGGAAATACACTCATAGACCACAGAAAAATCTCATGTCCAGCTAATCCCTAACACAAAATATCCAGTAAATATGGGGCACCGTGAAAAGGTCAAACCTGCAAATAGTAGGTATAGAAGAAGGTGAAGAAATATAGGACATAGAGGAGCAGAAAGGTTGAGTGAGGGGAAGAATAGAGGAGAGCAGGATGAGGGGTACCATAATAGAGGGAGCCATTATAGGTTCAAGGAGAGGTCTGGCACAAGTGAGATTTTCCGAGATCTACAAGATTGACATCAACTGGCATTAAGGCTAACTTAAATGCCCTCACATGACAATGAGATTGATGACTACCTTATATGCCATCCTAGATCCCTCATTCAGTGGCTGACAGAAGTAGAAGTAGACACCGACAGCTAAAAACCGCACTGAACTCTTGGAACCCAGTTACAAAGAGGAGTGACAAGCAAAGGAATAAATGATGGGGGAAGTCCTGTGTGTATGTCAATAAAGCACTGTTGGCTAATAGGGAAACAAGATAGGTGCGACTAGGAGTCCAGGAGGATTCTGGGAATGAGAAACACAGAGAATCAAGATGCAATGCCATGAGGTAGGAAGCCTGGAAATTTCTCCGGTAAGAGAAATACTTAGATTAACAATTATGGGGTAATAACTTAAGTCAGAGCTACCCAGTAAGAAACAAGCAAGCCCAACAGCTTCATAATTAATATAGCCTCCTGTCTGTTTATTTGGGACTGATGCAGCTCTGGAACCAGACTGGCAGGAAGGCTTCGCTTTACATAATGGTGATCAGGAGTGTGATGATTAATTTCCACGTAGAATGACAAAAGCTTTAAAGAAATTTTAGAAACAGAAGAATGGAGAGAAGCACAGATTTTTGGTAGCAGCATTTTCTCAGGTGGGCTCTGTTTTGCTAGCGACAAGCCGAGATTCACGCCACTCGCTTACGGGAGTCTTCCTGACTCGGCATAAAAAGAAAAAATAAAACAGCAATATTCTTTTAAGTGACTCTGCTAACATTGAAAGGTTATACATACAGATGGAAGTGGCAATGACCACATCTCTGAGCCAGCAGCTCTTGCTGGATGTCAGACTGAGACAATGAGCTGGGATCATGCTTATGCCCGCCATCTTGGAAAAACTGCAGTTTAAACAACCGTGGTTTTAACAGATAAGACACATGGCCAGAAAAACATAAAGATTTACAGTAAAGTCAGACTTTGATGAAGAAAAAACCTCTAAAGGTTTACAGTGTGTTTAAAAATATACATAAGATTGAGAGACAAAAAGAAAGGCAAAGTGAAAAATAAGTATAGAAGGCAGCTGTGGTGGCGCACACCGGTAGGATTTGCTCCAGAGGCAGAGGCAGGCTGATTTCCAAAGAGAAATCCTGTCTCAGTGAAAAATAAATAAAGGTAAAAGAAATAAAGTAATAAATATAAATAAATAAGCCACGTAAAGATGGAAAATACACAGAGAGTCTGGATACTGTATGCTATTGTGGTTTTTTTGCTCAGGAAGGAACAACAGCTAAAGTACACTTGATTATAAATGCTGCTGAATTAATTCAACTTACATCTTCTGAAAATTCCTTGACTTCAAAATTTAAGTATAAGGATATGTTACTTGGAAAAGACGTTTTTGTTTATGTTTCTACAGAAAATGAAAACCAGAGGATTCCCTCTAGGCTTCTGAGGTTTTATGAACCAAGCCCTCCAGAAGCAATGGCCCAATTGATTCAACATCTAACACAGCTAACATGATGCACCCTTACAGACCCTGAAAATAATGACTTACACAGGTTTCTGAGTTTTGTCATGATCCCCATGGTATGAACAGCACCCCCTTCCAGCACGAAGCAGTTTGAAATGAGCAACATCCTAATTCCCATTTTGTTTATAAATCTTTGTTTTCATTTAAATAGGATTGCTTATAATTGGTTAATGATCACAACCAATCTCTTTTTAATGGTAAAAAGGGGAATTATGGTATGGGTATGGTTTTTCATTTATTGATAAAAATTCAAGGTCAATTTTGTGATGTGCATATTTCTCCTCTTGATTAAGTATTGTGCTTCTACTGATGTTTTAAAAGTGTAATGTGCAATTAAATGCATATTATAGAGAGTTACTTATAATATTCACAACTTATAGTTAGGTAGGTCAGGTTTGCTAGATATATAGAGATGTATTTGAGACAGATAGACAGTCTTCAAACCTTTCAAAGACCTTCAGAAAATGGCATTTAAAATGGTTTAGGGTTTTTCTTGACAATGAGAATTGTTTGCTCCTGGCAGCACCAATTACGTCTGAGAGAAAGATGGGCATCAAAGAAACTCGTTATGGAGTTTGCTTTCAACATGGGAAGATTAGACATTTGGGCAAGAAACTGCTCTTGCATAGACTGCTTGACTGTTACTGTATAAACTGGACATGCAGGATGAACAGGAAAGTGACTACTGAACTCAAACAGTCCTTCAGGGTTCCTGATTCATGGAAGAGTCTACAAGACTTTCTGCAGGACACAGAAAAATGACTGACAGACTGCTGATGCAGATGGACAGTTTGAAATTTCCTGCTTTGCTGAGAAGTGTTCCAGACACACTGTGGCCTATGGGCTGAAGATGGATGCCCCAACATTACAGAGGAACTTTGGGTGCCTGTCCAGGTAGCAAGATGTCTCTGTCAATTCTAGTGTTTATATATACTTCTGTGGTTTTTGATAGAGTTGAAGGCAGATAGTTATAATTATAGCTTTCCTTAGATATGATAAAAGATAAGCTACATATAGGACTTTGAACTCACAAGGATGGGATAGATGATATTTTCTTTAAATCTTACTGAATATTGATAGACCAAATATTTTAACTGTGTTCTTACTTGATACCAGTTATATTATATATATTTTGACTATGTTAAACTAAAGACCTTTCTTTTTGTTTAGACAGAAAAGAGGAGATGATGGGGAAGTCCTGTGTATA